TCTCTCAAATGACGTATGCCGTCGGCCGTTCCCCGGTTTCTAGTGCTACCGCCGATATCAATGGAGACTGTTACCCGGACATTATTGTGCCAAATAGCGGCAATAACACCGTTGGTGTTCTTCTGAATAGAGGTACTGGCAAATTTAGCTCTCAAATGGCGTATACCGTCGGCAATTCTCCGATTTCTGTGACCACCGCTGATGTCAATGGGGACGGTCATCCAGACATTATTGTGGCAAATACCGGCAGCAACACTGTCGGAGTTCTCCTCCAACAGTGCATTTGTCACCAATGTTAGACTTAACGTTCTTCTTTAACATTTCAAGACGTCGACTGAAAACTTCATCATTATATTAAGACTTTTTGAAAGATATAAACTGTTCTTCTCTATGGCAATGCTTAACTTGCATGTTTGAAATACCGTCGCAAACATTCTTCGTTGTTCCTTTTCTTGTGTTCTGTTCTAAACTCATCTGAATCTCCTCTCGAAAAGCTGTCCAGTGTTTTTTTTCTCGTAATCTATCGTGCATCTTAATAGAATTTTTCCTTATTGTATTTCTTACTTTGAACTATTATCGTTCTCTTTTTTTTCTTCAATAAAGAGTATATAGCGAGAAAGTACAGACTTCACTGTATCGCAGAATATATTAATCACAAATAACAAATAGAAATCAAAGAAAAAATACATAAGAAAAAACATAATGTTTGTGTTTTTTTTTATTGCAATATATATTTTATGTGGATTATAGGAACGAAAATACTTATTTATATGGATAGTTGGTCATTATGTAGATCAATTCCATGGATACCCGCACATTTGCGATATCCACTGCTGATTTCCTCTTTCGATAAATGAATACAAAGTTTGCGAAAGGTTTGAAAAGGACGTTCCATTCGAAAAAAGGTATTTTTGAGTCAAACAAAAGGAAGAAAAAAAGAGAAAAACTTCTTTGAAACGATTCAAGTTATAGTAAAAAAAACGCCTTTCTTTTTTTCTTTATTATTTTTGAAACTTCAAATATGAGTAAATTTTTGTAAGATCATATATTTTTATATTTGAATTTTGGACTGAGAAAAGTAGAATTAATTCTTGAAAGGATAAGCTTTTCTTGTTGGCCTAATTTATAAGCGTAAGTCCATTCAAAACGACAAAATACAAAAAATGAATGGAAATAACTGTTTAAGAGAGGATCCGCCAGAAAAAGGGCACTTGACTGGGGAAAAATTTTTGATTTTTGATTTGATCTTCTGAAAAGAAAGGCCTTTCAGAGTTAGTACTAAATCCAAAATATTTGCTTGATCTGACTATCCATTACTGACTTCTGAAGTACACTTCGATAACAGGGCTAATAGACCTAGGTGAAAAATTGTCATTTTTCGTACTTGTAATTTAGTACAAAAGCATTCCACTATTTCGAGCATTAACATACTGATAAGTTTTGGAAAAAGAAAGAGCATTGTTGTGGCTATCAGACTATGCCTTTTTGGACTCTACACAAACATTATTATGTGAACAAACAAGGACCAACAAAGTATTTTCTAACCAAAAAAAATACTTCGATTTTGAGCGTTTTTCAAAGTATTTCGATCTTTTATACATCAAAATGGAGATTCCCCATGAATTTTATGACATCAAAAGATAGCCTGTGAAAAATTGCATCTCCTGATGTAAAAATATTTGAGAAAAAAGATACTTGGCTGATTCAACTTTTTCAAACAAAAAGCACGACTACACACTTTTTTATGCTCATTATAGGGTACGCTAAAATGTTGTGTACCTTCGTTCTCCACTATTTGATTTAGAATCACAGCCTTTTTTTCAGCATCAATAACAGCGAGTAAGACCTATAGAATTGTTAAGAGAAGAACCTGCAACAAGGCTGTTTCTTGTTTATTAGCTGGGAGATATTATGCAAAATACACAAGACAATATACGATAGTTATCAGGCGATACCTATAGTTTCTACTACATTATGTAAAGCTCAACGAATTTCCTAAGTAATATTTGAGTAAAAAGCAAGATAGAGGTACACTGAAATAACTGGGAAAAATATATCTGCTCTAGATCGTGATCGTATGTGCTTAGATTTTGACAGTAACAAGAGTGATAATTGATTAATGATTACTTCTGTCAATGAACTGATTTTTTGGTAAACACGGATAGTCTTCCATCAGGTTGTTTGTTTAATCTTTAGTTGAATTAGTGGCATACTGATAAGCCAACATATAAGTAGGATTTGAGATGAACTTCAGCTTTCGAAAGAGTAAAGATATTAAGAAAGCGTCTTTACCATCTAGATATTAATTTCATTTATTTATGGTAGGGTAGATCATATTTTAAAGTTTTGCTTTTGATAACACAGAATACGACGAGAAGGGTGTTAACGTGAGTCGTTGTGCACTGGCTACTAGTGAATGAACAGCTAACATGTTTGAATATTGTTGTTTTGCGGAGAGACAATGTATATAAGAAAAAACATAACTATTTTTCAACTTATTTGAAGGAACGTGACTTATATGAAAATATTTAATATTTATGAAGTATGTGCGTTGTGACAGTCGAATCGTTCTTAAAAATCTACATCTATTTGACGATATAGCATTACGTCTTTGGTGTGGGTGTGAATGTGGGTTAGGTGAAAGAGGGCACCGACACCCTAATATTTGAGATAAAAAGATAACTCGATATTCTGATACGTGTGCTTCAAATCTTATTCATTATTGAAAAACGCATGTATAGAATAAACACTGAACGGAAACAAATAGCTCTTCAGCAGAATGAGATTAGTGTTCAGAATGATGTGAACTATAGAAGTCAGATTCAAGTTCTTAGACCAGCGCTAGTAGCATGAATACATAGTGGTGATCATTGTTCTTCTACGTTGGATTATGTGCTCTAGTTTCAAAAGATTTAATACACACTATATTAAATTAAAAGAAAAATATGCAAATAATTGTTAATATTCTAAGCAGTCACTATATTAACAATTGAATCGATCGAATATAGTATTTAGATGGTTTTTTTCTCTTTCTGTTACATCAGGAAAGGGAGTTTGTTTCCCTTTGTGACATCTTCTAAAAGAAAAACGTCCGACAAACCTTAGTTGCTTGAAGGTTTCGAATACGATTCTTAAAATATTTTTCTTCTGTAAGGCTTCGAAGTGAAATTCGAATGGTATTGTTGGCCAACAAATAAATTGAAACTCGATGTAGTCTTATCTATAGTACATAGAATCAACTGCGAAAGATCAATGAATCGATTTTTGGTATCAAAATAGCTATTACGATTGAGAGGCGAACGACGACTTATGTTACAAACATATTTGATCACAACCAATTGTTCTTTATCTATCTCAATCGATTGCCTGGATGATCGAGTGTTAGCAGCGACATTTTGATCCATTATGCAATTGTTTATTTTGCTAGTTGGTAATTTCGGTATCCGATCAAACCGTCCATGTGATCCAATTCATGCATTTTCAGATATTAATAATGAATGAACAATTGATACATCGAATCAGCAATCGATCAATCTAAAAATAATTTCGAACGAAAGAGAACCAAGATCAGCTGTAGGAGAAACAATCGAATGCACAATCAGATCTTTCAGTTATTCGTTCGCTACTGAACTAACATTGATTAATGAAGATATTCTCTCCTTCGGCACTGTAAAGAGCACACTGTGTATTCCCTACGCTATAATCTGTTTGAACAAAAATGAAAACACATAAAAATTGATAAAATTATCAAAAATCATACTTGAATTTTTTCTTAATATCTTGTGAGTCGATGATCTCTTGCTAATAGTAACAAATAGCGAATTCATCAGAAAACACTATCATGGTGTGCTCGAAGATTATCATAAATCCCAATAATAAGTCATCCTTATAGAGAAATCGAGAGTGCAGAATCTGAATCTACAGTCAAAAATTATTAATATTGATATTTTGGTTATGAATTATTAATAACTTTTCATATTTTTCCATAAAACTTGAAGGTGAGGGTGACTATGAATTTAGCGAAGATCTGCACCCACATCCTTTATTAACCAAATCATAAGAAAAAATCATATTCAATAAAAGAACAAACGAAAATACATAGTATTTCTTGTGTATTTAATTGAGAAAAAGAACGAAAAGAATTTAAGAATGAATGTATAGAATTTATTAAGTAAGTTTAGTTGTTAGTAGAAAAGTTTCAAACAAAATTCTTGTCATTTAGAAAGGTTACTTAATAGAATATTTTATAATATTTTAAAGTTTTATGAAAAAACAATGATATTCCATAACCAATATGAATAATGTCTCTCTTAGTTGTTCTTTTTGTAAGATTTTATTGATAATGATAATATGATCTTATAGTCGAAATTTAGTGGATTTAATGATACAAATGGCTGATTCAAAAGATTCTTTGTAAGAAGTAATTTCAATTCTTTGTTTCTCTTATAAGCATATTGCAATCGAAAGAATTATTTTCTTAGTACCAGTTTTCTAATAAAACGCATTTAGAGATTAAAATATGAGATGCGAAGATTCTAAGTCACCTGTTACTTTCTATTATGTAACATAAAAGTGAAAATTGTCGAAAATAATTAGCTTGGTATAAAGAAGATGAAAAATATCGTAGATGAATTGTTACTGATGGTAGAGTGAAAATATGTAAAAGAGTTTATTTCTCTTTTCAGGCTTCTTTACTTTCATTTACTTCAGGAAGAACACCTGTTGGTATGATAAAAGCAATTCAAAAAAATTTTGAAGGATTAATGAGTTTAACTAATTTAATAAGTATTGGAGAAAATGTAAGAAAACATATTTTAAAAGAAGAAGAATTTTCAAATATTGAACAACATATATTTGAAGAATATCCAATATTAAGACGAACAGCAATTGAATGTATGTGCAATTTAATTGTTCAAAAAGAAGTAAAATAATTAATAATAATTTTCATTCGATATAAATTTTGATTAGATTATCAAATATTTTATTAGAGAAAATAATCGAATTAAATTATTGATATTATTATGTAGTGAAGATGATGAACTATGAATATTCTTTTCTTTCTATATTATTAGTCTTTTACCAGTCTTGTATATATTCAATAAGCATGTCTTATGATAGAGCATGAATTAAATGTTATTCTATTTCTTCTTTAGAATAATAAATAATATCTAATTCTTATCTTAAAACTGAACTGGTTGAACCATCTACATCCAATTTTAATCCTGTTAATTTCGAATCTGAAATTCTTCAATTATGTCTTCAAAATTTTCTATGTAAACAACAGAATTAGGAACAAAAAATAAATGGAACGGCAAAATGAAGAACACATGAAAATTCAATTATATTTGACCACACCCCTCCGCTCTATTGTTATGCTTCCTTTAAGTCATTCATTAATTATTTTCTAATCAATCTTATATCATTCCATAGAGCAATGTTAGCTCGATCTTGAGAAAAAAACATTTCTCTCCGGTGTATACAACACAGAAAAGATGATCTTTTTCCGGCAGAATTAGGCACCTGTCTTCATCATATAAATAGCTACATTATTTTCTGACAGGTAGAGATGTAAGATAACGCATTAATCGGCACAATGATAACGAAATTTTCCAGGACTCTTTTTAAAATGCTCTTGACTTCGAGATATTTAATAATAACATTGGTATTAGTAAAAAGTATACGCTCTAATCCATAATACAAAAGAGCAAGTCGATGCATATCTAGTACTATTTCATCTCTCATACGTGCCGATGTGATACACTCTATTCTTTCTTTTATTTTCAGATATTAACATAAAATATAAAATACTTAGTATATTTTAGGCTACGCAACTTAAAAATGGTTTCGTTGAAAGCACAGAACCTTAACAAAGTTCTATACATGGTAGAAAACTTAAAAAAGGTTTCGAACTTACAAAGGAAATCAGAACCTTTTTAAGGTTTCGTAGAAAATCTAGGGAAGGGTGGGTGGGCAGGTGTGGATGTAGATGTGATTCCTTTCTTCATCATCGCCCCATACATAGTTGAATAGTAACAGAAATTAGTTTTACAGACTCAATTTTTCATGAAAAATTCAAACATATCAATTTTATAATCTACATCAAACGGAAATTTTTTTTAAAAACGAAAAAATGTGTCAGTGTTTTAGTATAAAAACGTGCCTTTAGAAAAAATGGCACATTCAAGACTATCAATAATCTTAAATTTTGTTTAATCAACAGTCTTTCAGAAAAGATTTTTAAAAAAAGTATATTTTTAATCAACTCGTTGACCTCTCGGTAACGGTATATAAAAAAACACGAGAAAAAAAAATAATTTTCTATAATTTTGTACTTTTTGTATCTTTTCGGCTGCTGCATCCGATATCATTTTCGTTTCACATCATACCGATGAATCAATCAATATATAAAATGCACACCTTGAAGCACATATTTTTTCGGTCTCTGAAAGGAACGAAAATGAATGAACTGATAACATCAATGAGAAAATTTGCACGCTCAGAGCTATACATTTGGGTGATTTCGTCTTTCTCTCTCTCTCTCCTGATGCCTCTGCTTTTATGCGCATATACGTAAAATTGCTCGTTTCGAGTAGGCTATTACTGAGAACAGTTGATGCTGGGTGTGTCTTGGACAGCCAGAGAAAGCAATGAGTCGATAATGAGAAGAATGAAATGGAAAAGATGTTTGTTAAATACCATCCGGAATAGACCATTGAAATACATCGGTCATGTAATCCGAAAAGGTTGCTTGGAACACCAAGTACTGACGAGGGAACCGATACAACTGATAAATCGTTTTTGAGTTCCGACTCTGTGCATAAGATAGACCTCCGTGAGGTACGAGAAACCCTGAAAGGACAAGTGCCCATAGGCCTTCTGTCCAGAGTTCTAGGCATTTTATTGGAATTTTAGCCTATGACATGGTGCATACCAATAAATCGAATGACGGTATTTCGAGCTGAGATTTTGCTCACAGAGGGGCCTATTCGTGAGTAGAATGTCCTGAAAATTTCAGTTCAAAAGAGTGTTTCCTTCCCAAGATATTAAAGTTCCAAAAAGTAGGAAATTCTAGCGACTTTGTGGGATATGCGCGATTTTTGAGGCTGCAATATCTCGGGAGAAAAATGTTCTTTTGAGCTGAAATTTTTAGGATATACTACTAACAAATAGACCCCTCTGTGGGCAAAATCTCAGCTCGAAATACCGTCATTCGATTTATTGGTATACACCGTGTCATAGGCTAAAATTCTAATAAAATGCCTAGAACTCTGGACAGAAGGCCTATGGGCACTTGTCCTTTCAGGATTTCTCATACCTCACGAGGGTCTATCTTATGCACAGAGTCTGAACTCAAAAGCGATTTATCAGTTGCATCGATCCCCTCGTGAGTGGTAAGATCTGTGGGAAGAAAGACAAAGAATAAAGTACCTCGAAAGCATGAACCTATGGATTGAAAAACAAGGATATGAGAAAATAGATTTTCTTCACGCAGTTCAAGATCGGTGAAAATGATGTATCATGGTAGCCAACTTCTCTAACAGATAAGGCACTTCACTGAACTGAACTGAACTGAATATCGTGTAAGACCACATAAATACTTTTTTTGTACATGAAGAAGAAAAGAAACGTTTATTTTTCAAAATATTTAAACGCTGCTATTCGATTAACTCATCCATATTTGTTTATTATACTTTCTATAATTGTCCTTCAAATATTTCTATTGTAAACATATTTAATATTAGTAATTGAGTCCTGATAACTCGATTATTGTCTTGAAACTTACTTTTTTTGATAGATTTTCCTTTTTTGAATTTATTTATTCTTACTCAATCTAGCATTTCAACACAGTCTACGTCTAAACTTTGTAGAATAAAATCAAGAATTAGAGCATATAACGAAATAAAGATCACAGGAAGAGGTAATGCTGGCATTTGATATTCTTTCCAAAGAGATCCAATCCAATCCGCAAGCATAAAACCAATGTGAACATTGGTAACCAAACCAAAAAATACACATATTTGTATTTTTGTTGATGATAATGGTGGTAATATCCATAAAAGAAGTAGATTGTATAAGAAAAAATCACCGTCACCCAAAGCTCTGTAACCTTTGGTTGGATCTATTCCATCTTCAATGTCATGAGTATAATAGCAAAAGACCGGAAATGTTGGATATGTCGATATTCTATAATTCATAGAAGTATCTTTCATCGATTTACGGAATCGACCATGAATATGCAAACATGCGAAGCTGTATAAAAAGACAAACAAATATTTTAATAATAACTCTTAAAAGTCGAAGAGGCTTTCTCTTACAACAGAAGGAAACTAATCACCAAAAATAGAAATTATGGGGCCCTCAGCATACTGGCGCTATAGTTAAAAAGAATTATCTTGCTTTTTGTCCCGAATAACGCAATGTCCTTTGGCAGAAATATTCGGCCTTGTGAAAAATCGAAAGATAGGAGTTTCGATCTAAAGTTTTGCCCATGAATAGGTTTCATAATCCTTAACTTTGCCTGAAATTTTCATGCAAAACAGATGCTTTCTTGTTGAGATATTTGATGCTTAAAAAAAGTTGTTAGTGCAGCCCCAAGAGGGGCCGAAATGTGGAACTCATAAACTCTGATGTGAGTCTTATAAATTTAATACACATGGTCAGAGGTTTTACAATAAGTTATTTAAAAAATATCAAATAGATAAATAAATCAGAATTATAACAATTTTGATAGTTGATACGCACGCTTTGAAATTTTCTTTAGTGAAATTATTCATATTTATAATTACTTTTCTATCAGATGATTTCATTCATTTAACATCGTGATATTGAAAAAAGTTATTTGTATATGTCATATACATCTCTAATACATAAATTCTATTTTTTTAATGATATGCCAACGACGGTCGATCACCGCCAAATAATGGCTTAACAACGAAACATTAAATATTGAATATATTAATTATTATTTTATTCACTATTTTGTTAGTTAGCTAATTAATTAATTAGTCTGTAACAGTCTGTAATGGGGGAGCTCTGTGCTATGGAAACATATCCAATAATGTATGGTTTTTCGTCATATGGTTGCTAAGGAGTCATAGGAAAGTAGTCAGTTCTTATTGTCGTCCGTTGCTAGGGGAATGTACTCAATGACTTTTGACGCCGATTGCTAAGATGTGTAATGGGAGCCTGCGTTGTTATAGTCTGTAATATAGAGGGGAGGTGGGTGGTATTGGGAGCCGCAAAACCTCGATTTAAAACTTACACTCACTATTTTCTTCGAAAATATACGTGAGTTCCACAAAATCTTAATAAGACCTTGTATATAGAAATCAATATTTTTCTGGACTAAGATGATCTTGGAAGCTATACTGAGAGCAAAATATAATTTTCAAGTGACTCTTAGCGAAAATAATAGATCTTTTACGACTGATGATTTTTTGATGTCACTTTTCTTTTTTAAAGTTTTGTTTACTCATAAATGCATCGTTTCGTCTTGTTTATTTTACGGAATATTCTGAAACATAGAATCAATGTATGTGTGAAGCCATTCCGTAAATTTCTAATCGATCTACTGGCAAATTATGACATCATAAAGAAAGCATTCTTGAAATGGAATATTCCGCCTTACAGAAAAAAATCGAAACGAAGGAATTTTAATTTGAAACTTTGGTCATACATAGCTCTAATGATATCTAGAGTATCCAGAAATTTTCACCAACCAATAGTTGTTTTCTTTTCGAGATACAGAATGTTGAAAGAAAGCCGGTTTCTAGCAGTTTTTTTGCAAAATGTGACCGGTTTTTGAGGACCTCACGTATATTTTCGAAGAAAATAGTGACTGTAAGCTTTAAATCGAGGTTTTGCGGCTCCCAATCCCCCCCCCAGGCCCCCTCCATTACAGACCATAACAACACAGGCTCCCATTACACACCTTAGCAATCGGGCTCAAAAGTCATTGAGTACATTCCCCTAGCAACGGACGACAATAAGAATTGGCTACTTTCCTATGACTCCTTAGCAACCATATGACGAAAAACCATATATTATTGGATATGTTTCCATAGCACAGAGCTCCCCCATTACAGACTGTTACAGACTAATTAATTAATTAGCTAACTAACAAAATAGTGAATAAAATAATAATTAATATATTCAATATTTTATATTTTTAATTTTAATGTTCAATAATATTTAATGTTTCGTTGTTAAGCCATTATTTGGCGGTGACCGACCGTCATTGGCATATCATTAAAAAAATAGAATTTATGTATTAGAGATGTATATGACATATACAAATAACTTTTTTCAATATCACGATGTTAAATGAATGAAATAATCTGATAGAAAAGTAATTATAAATATGAATAATTTCACTAAAGAAAATTTCAGAGCGTGCGTATCAACTATCAAAATTGTTATAATTCTGGTTTATTTATCTATTTGATATTTTTTAAATAACTTATTGTAAAACCTCTGACCATGTGTATTAAATTTATAAGACTCACATCAGAGTTTATGAGTTCCACATTTCGGCCTCTCTTGGGACTGCACTGACAAGTTTTTATTGAAATTATTCAAATGTCCTTTGGAAGGGACACCCGACTTTTAAGAGATAAAACACTGGTTATTGCTATCTATTAATATCATAGTTGTTAGAACATCTTTCGAACTTCATCCATATTTATATACTTACATATCATCAAAAGATATAAACCATATGAGAGCAAGATGAATTGAAGGAAAATAGCGAAGAAATAGTTCATAAAATATGAATGCTTCAATAGCTGTTAATACACATATTGATGCTTGATAAAGAATTAGAAAAGGCCATGAGAGTTTATGAAAACACCATTGAAATATAAGATAACTGAATTGCCATACAAAAAGATAAACAGTAAATATATCTACTGAATACCAAAAGTGAAAACTATTGCACCATCGAGCTAACAACCATACATTGTATATCATCAATATTCCTAATACTAATCGATGTTTTATTTTAGAACCACAATACCATATCAGTGCCATAAAGAAAAATAGACAATTCACCAAGATTAACATATTTAGTTTATCATTTGTACTTTGAAGAATTAAACAGGACGTATTACCTATATAAATAAGTTATAGTATAGGAAATTTCTTTTTTTTTCAAAACCACATACTTCGTTGATTGATAAGACAGGCCAAGGATAAATGACTATAATGGAAAGTATCAGCAATTATATGTTGAAAGAGTGTGTTGCTAGCTCGTTTCTCATTTAGGACATTATGAAATGTAAATGTGATTAATAAACTAAAACTTGTAGCTAGCATTATTTGCATATAATTATTCATTCTTACAGTTATTATAATTATTTCAAAAGATAAGAGTTTGTAACAGGATGAGTTAGATTCGTTAATATTAATTTTAGTATAAATTTCCTTTGAAGTATTCGTTAATATTCTTCACATTACAGTAATACGTCTTTTTCTCGTTTATTCCATCTATTGATTCAACAATGAATAAGGTCAAGCGGTCACGAAAGAAGAAAAAAATTCATTCAATGAAACAGAAGAAGTTGGTTATGTATCTTTTTCTTCTATGGATGGTCATAGTCACGATCGAACAACCGACATTTTGTCTATAAACACATCTTCATGCATTATCAAATCAATGTCGAAATGACTAACATTAAAACGCTGAGAATAAAATCATTCTGAAACGAGATTTTTTTTCTTTTTTTACAGAATATGAAGTATGTCATTGATAGATTATGTGTCATATTAAATTCCTTCAATCAACTAAAATTAGAAAGTTGTTTTGAGTGACTTTGTATTTGCATTGGATATTAGTTTAGCTGATATCCCACATGGAAAGGACGCACAGCGAAATGAGCATGCTAGAGTGGAGTGGAACAACTGTTAAAGAAATACCGTCTGCGAAGTGATTTTTTTATCAATAACAAGAGCTAAACAGATTTTTTAACTAAAATTTAAACATTTGAGTTAAATATTCGTTCTGGAAAATAGCATTAATGGCAATAATAAGACAAGAAAAGCAGTTAGATTTGTAAGGTGTCGGAAATGCAAAATTTCCACAATTTTTTTCTTTTGTGTTATCTATACACAGTTGGAAAGAGCGCATCGAATTACCTAGGAAGAAGTAATTTTCTTACTTCGACAACGACTTTTCCTAGAGAAAATTTCATAAAACAGCCATTTTTATTGCTTTGAAGAGATTAATCGACAGTTTTATTTTTTAGTGTCTTTTCAAATGTGTGAGAATGTTCTTTTCTAATTCAGCACATCAAGTTGACTATAAAAACATGTTTGCTTCTATTCAAGTAGAATGTGATCATTAAATTTTTTTTTGATTCTAGTGATACCTAAAACATGGACTCGGGCCACCTTGCGAAAGAATCAAATTTTCCAGGTGTAAAGAGAGAGTCACTCTTTCTATTCCATTATAATCATAACAGGACCTAGACAAAAGGTACGTATCCGCTTTTTTTTAAAATTTTGCTTCATTGCTGAGAAAATCAATGGTTTCGACATAAGTAGCAAAATAATGTAAAATACACTAATATCTGTAGATTCTCACTATCAATATTTCATTTGTAAGTAAAATGAATATAATATTCGGAATTAGCATAAAAAGTTGGTACGATTTACACAGATTATACCAAAAAACATTTCCCATCGAAATCTGACCCCTACTCTTCCTCAGTTCATTTTTCAATAATTTCACAGGTGGTTCCCCCCCCCCCCCCCCTTAAGGCAGATTTCGATGGGAAATGTTTTTTGGTATAATCTATGTAAATCGTACCAACTTTTTATGCTAATTCCGGATATTATATTCATTTTACTTGCAAATGAAATATCGATAGTGAGAATCTACAGATATTAGTGTATTTTACATTATTTTGCTACTAATGTCGAAACTATTGATTTTCTCAGCAATGAAAGGTGTGAGTGTGGGTGTGTGGGTGTGGGTGTGGGTGTGGGTGTGAATGAAGACTATTTGCATTCAACCACCACACCCACACCCACACCCATCTCGAGAGGGTACCTCTGACCACAAGCAAAAATTTTTTAGACAAAATCTCATGCAAAATATTGAGCAGAACGAAAAAAAAAAGCTTATTAGCGCAGCTCCTTCGGAGCTGAAATGTGGAACTCACGTATATCCTTCAACCTTGCTATCCTAATACATCATCCGTAAACTGAAAAATTTCTCGTCGGCTGTAGTTCTTTTCACTTATAACCAATGACAAGAACAAGAATTTATTATTTATTGCTACATTTATTTCTAAATTCAAAATGGGAATTTTTTATTTTTCTACGGGCGCCCTATTTTTTGTTTGCATTGTTGCTATTCGCTCATTATTTTTCATTTTTTTTTAATTCATGTTTTATTTAATTTAATATTCTTATTATTATAATCATTGAATCGACAAATAAGTCTATTTTACATATCCATGATATCTATGGCAGATTTTACGTACTATTGTATATATGAATCAACTCACAAACAATGATGTTCATTAATCTTGAAAATTATAACTTTACCAATTTAAAAAAAAACTCTAGAAAATCTGACATCTGTTGTTTTCCATTGATAAAGTCTGTAATGGTGGATTATCTGTAATTGGGGTGTTTATAATGAGGGGGTGTTTATAATAAGGGGGTGTCTGTAATGAAGGGGAGTCTGTAATGGTGGAAGGGTGTCTGTAATGGAGAGGCCTCGTTGCTATGGTCTGCAATGGGGGGGGGGGGGGGGGGGGACTCGTTGCTATGGTCTGTAATTGGGGTCTGTCTGTAAGGGAGGGGGTCGGGAGCCGCCAAACCTCGAACTTAAAACTTACACTCACTATTTTCTTCGAAAATATATGTGAGTTCTACAAAATAACGCTTCGCACGGGTATCGAACCCGATGTCGCGTTATATATGCTGTTAGCCGTTCAGCTATATGCGAAGTGTTGTTCGTTCTTTTTTTCTTTTCTTTTGCTCTTATTTCATCTATCTCATCAAGTGAACGAATTCAATTTGAAATAATTCAATAATAATATCAGCAATCATTAATTATTACAAAATAATTCTCTTTGCTTTAATATGAACATCATTACATTAACAATCTATTATTAATTGTATACGTGTTTATTTATTTTTAACAACAAAAAATACAAAAAATATATTCTAATAATGTATACATATTATTAATTTATAATTTATTGTTGATAAAAGAAAAATTTAAGAAGAAAAAGTTCAAACAATGTTTATGATGATGTAATAATTTGTTACAATATTTATGTTGTAAACGAGTAAAATATTGGTTACTGCTTGAAGACGGGAGCTTTTTGATGAAATCTCATACGAAGTATAAGAACAGGATTTTTTCCATCTATAACCGATTTTTGTTTCTGTAGCCGAAATTGTATATTGTCAACTGACCGAACATATCCTTTATAATCAAACTTATATTCAAGTTGTAGTTGCTGTTGGAGTAAAACAATGGTATCGTACTTTTTTCGTACACCAAAACGTTGTAATGTATTATATTGTTCTGGACTAAGTGGAAATTTATAAGACCTTATTTCACCTTTGTGTCGATCAACAGCACCAGTAAAGATGACTTTCTGAACGTGCGGAGAAAGAAAAATGAGGCAATTGTGTAATTTAATTTTCGATGGATTTTTATGTTTTTTTAATGGTGGTGTTGGTAATGGGTTTATAGTATGATTGTTTTTAATTCAATAATTGATTTGAAGAAAAAAGGACAACTTCAATAGTCATTAAGTCCTGAACCAGTAGTACAATTCCAAGACATGTCCGGTTTTAAATTGGAAAATAAATCAACAAATATTTTATCATTATATGAACACGTACCATGAATATAATTAAAATTTCGTTTGTGTAAAAAATCTTCAAATATATGATTTATTTCATGTTTTTTTTGAATTTTTATTTTCATAATAAAATTTTTGGATACCATTGTGTAATAAATGAAAATTATCACTTTGAATTAATCTTTCTATTCCATGATCAGTTAATGACAATATTTCATGAATAAATTTACACATATAACTTCGGTTTGGAGCTGTATGACTAACACTGCTACTAGATTTTGTTATAATTTCACTTGGAGTATAAGCTTGACTAATAAACGATGACATTTTGAATTAAATATCCTCAGGCGAGCAAAGGACGGGTAAAAAGACTAGTCATTTTTCTAGTCGTGACTATGTGTCATGTCTAGTCTTTTTCTCAAAAAGTCCTACTACATGACTAGTCCAAAATGGTTTGGAATCTTTAACCCCGTCGGGGCATCTCGTCCGAAAATAGATTTTAAATTAAAAAAGGCAGAGCGCCTGTGACGCGACATCTATTAGGTTTCAGTCTTATGTAGCGGTCTAGTTCGGACTAGTCTAAATGATAGAAATATGTGCAGAAAGTTAGATTCGTACATGCATACCTTGTGTTACTTACTCGTCGTCTACCCGATTGAGCCATATGATCTAGTGATCAACTTTTACATGTCAATACACATCTGAAGACACTAATTACTACAGTTTGACTCAGCGTTTTCTCAAGTTTTAATATTTATAGAAACTACTTGTAATAAAATCGAAAATTAGTTAAATAAAGCTAAGCAAAATTAATTCAGAATTTTTTTAATTTCCTTCAACAGAATTTTTTTTTGATTATCGACATATGGAAAAAATTATTTTCCATTGGAAAAAACAATTAAAATTAAAATCAAAATCAAAATAATAATATATATTTCAAAAAAAGATCTTGCTTTTCATCTAATGGTTTATGTTTATCTTAATTTAAAATATTTCCTATTTAAATTTGAAAATGAACTATGATTCTACCGTTTAAATCCATTTTTAAATTCAAATCATTAGGTTTTATATCGAAATAAAATAATATTCTCATATCAATGCATTAAAATTAATTTTTCGAATAAAATTATTCTTGATTGTTATTACAATTTAAAAATTTAAAAGGACATAAATAGCCAACTCTCGTTAGATACACCGTTCTAGTCCCAATACAAACTAGTCTAAACGAATTGTCCGAATGATTAAGTCCAAACAATAAAGACTGTTTGGAAGGATAGACTAGCCTGGACCAGAATTGGCATTGCTTTCTCGAAAACGACTAGTCATGACCAATATAGATGACTCTTCATACTAGTCCGCGTTATCTATTGAAAACAGTTTAGACTAGTCAGGTATCCAATATTGTCGGCTTGAATGTTCGAATCCACCTATCGCCTTCGTTTCTTCTAGCTTTTGCCTTCAAGTTGACGCTTCTGGACAGTATGCACATACAAAACGGACTAGCCATGACAAGATTAGAGCATGTTTTGGACTAGTCTATTTTAGATACAAGACGTTGCTTGTGAAGACGACTAGTCCTGACTAGCCGCAAATCATTTCAGGCTAGTCCAAATAGCAGTGCAGACATTTTAGACTAGTCCAGACGAGTACTACGAACAATTTAGACTAGTCATGTCGGGCGTCACCCCTTATTTTTTGCTCGCCTGGGGAGATCTGTGGAAAATAAACATTGAGAATTCGACAGCTTCAGCAAACCTTAATAATAAGCAATGTCTTTTTCGAGTATTTACTAGTACGCTATGTGGTATCTATAGGCAAAAAAGTCATTGATATCGTAACGGGATATTTGAGAAGATCTTTGAAAAGACGCATGTTGGATTTCGAGACGACTTCTTCAGTCGCGAAGACCATTTTCAGAAAATGATTTTATCGAATGAATAGATATGGATTTACAATGCTTGTCGTTCTGTTCGCGAAGTGGCTAGGGTGTGGGTGTGGGTATTGCTATTGACCAAGCGAAAACTACACCATCACCCACACCCATACCCTTCCTGAAAATTCAAATAAAGCATCATACGGTATTAATCATCTTCTTCAACCTACTTATGATCAATTGGCTAATTTTACAATATTTTTCAAAGAAAGTAATGCTGTCCAAGCAATAGACAACTATGACAAACAAGGTGTTGTACGATAAAATACATTGTTTGCTAATTTTCATATAAATGATTTTTGTAGTTTCACCTGATGAACAATTTATTGAAGCAGTGCAGCATTTTCTCAATGAATATATACCGGTTCGACCAATTCATAGTCTCACTGTGAATACTAATATTCAACTTACTCGTTTTGTATTACAAAAGCAATATTTTCTGTTCAATAACAAAATTTATTGACAAAGGTCGTGGTTCTAGTTTACCATTAAATCGTCTATTGGTCAATATCTATATGCTCTATTAGTACAAAGATTTGGTTCAAATACTAGTTAATAGAAACGAAATCTTCAGCCGATTTATTGACGAAGATTTTTAACTGAGAATGAATACATAACTGAACTTCAATCATTTATTAAGGCGATGATCAAAATCCTAGTTTATCGATAATTATTGCAATTGGAAAAAAGTCAATTATATTGATACTCAAATAAGTCATATCAATGATCAAGTTCGAACTAAAATCTATCATGACCAAGAGATGCAGCCACGTTCATTACCATTTATGTCAGATTATCTACCTATGGTGTATTCAACATTAATTCAAACATATCTTATTCATGCTGCATTAATTTGTTGTAAAGCATCTGATTTTCAAGATGAACATCGTGGTATTTAATTAGTATTTCTGGATAGTTGTTATACAATAAAATATATTAGAGAACACATCGAACAATTCTTTGAAGATTTTCATACAGGGTAGCCCAAAAGCCACCGCGCAGTCTTTGATTACGAATAGCTTTTGATAGGAGTAAACTAGAGACTTGCAATTTTCGTCATTCGATAAAGCCATCTCGAAGATGTTTCTGTATATGAGATTTATTGGGTTTGAAGAAGGTTTCAGTAGCTATTTTCAAACATATACCTTTTTCATTGTTCAGTTTCATAGATTGTCATGATAATCTTAGCTTAACCTACATCAAAATACAGCCAGAAGAATGCTGTGTTGGTGTTAATATGCTCACTTTTTCAATCAGTATCTTTAAAGTATGAACGCAAGGTAATGTTAGAAGTATGTGTAGATTTTATCGCTAACTTCGCATTCGTCACGCTGCATTTTGGTTTTAGTAGAGCTAAGATGATCATGACAATCTATGAAAATGAACAATGGAAAAAATATCTGTTTGAAAATAGCTATTGAAACCTTCCTCAACCCAATAAATCTCATACAAAGAGACCTCTTCAAGGTGGGTCTATCCAATGACGAAAACTGCAAGTCTCTATTTTACTTCTATCAAAACTTATTCGCAATCAAAGACTGTCCGGTGACTTTTGGTCCAAAATGTATAATAACTTAGAATTTGTATATTTCTCGGCTAACATATATCTCAGCACTCGAGTACTTGTTTAGACGTGTGCCAAAATTTCTCACGATCATCCTGTCCATTCGTGCCTCCGTTAATTTTCTTGGTTATCTGTCGAAATGACTCAAGTGTATTCTTATCAGCCAGTTCATTTAACCGATGCGTTTCCCAATACCATGCACTTGTTCGAAATCCGACCTTGGCTGTTTTTACTTGATCGGGATTATCCACCAAATTCAAGCCTAATGCATCTCCAGCTGCCTTGTAATTATCTCGTCCTGTTAGTTGGATAGGACCACGGCCTTTGAACCGCTTGCCATCACCTATTTGAGTGTTGCCCAAGTCTGTGCGATTTTCGTAAAGTACTCCTGACGCTTTTTCTTCCATAAAATTCAGTTGTTGGCTTTCGTGCGCTATCTGGGCAAGGAAAGCAGCTATTCGAGCGCAGGTGTTGATTGATCGTTCTCTCATAGCCTCATTGATGTTGTCCAAATATTCGGGATGTTTATTTTGAGGCATAATCTTTTTGAGTTGTGTACCATTGATTCCTACACAGTTTAATTATCCAATTTATATTCATTGATGGCAATCAGTTGCCTGATTGTCAAGCATTTCATCTTGTACTAGAAGTACTGTTAGCAAAAATCCTTCAATAAGCATCTGTATAACAGATACGACTACTACTAAAATCTAAAATATGGTTGTTGATAGTCAGATAAGAGGAGGGGACAATCATCCGATATAAGTGTTTTTAAGAACTGAATAGCGTTTTTGTATAGTTATTAACAAACTTAATTCCTGTAAGGACGAATTAAATAGAAACTATTGTTAAAGTTTTTTCCTCTAAAAGCTTGTTGTTGTTTGTACTGGTTCAAAGATCTCCGAGGCATCCGGTAGTACCCTTCGTCGTGACATCAATCGATTGCAGTCTGAAAATTTGGGAGCATTTCAAAGGCTCATGTGGCAAAATTTTGATTTTACGAAAGAAAAGGCCATTCACATATATCTGATTTGGAAAGAATGCTTTTACAATGGAATCTCTCAAGATGCGCACGAGAGCATGGATGAGAGTGCGAAGTGAGAATGAGTGTGCGGATGTGAAGTGAGGATACGGGTGAGGACAAGTGAGAGTGAGGGCGAAAGGGTCCCTTTTGTTTTCAAACCCTCATCCTCACGCTCGTGCGAATCTTTCGTATATCCATGAGAGATTTTTTGGACGGGTTATTTAACAGGTGATTGGTCGTCAAATATTAGCACCACATGAGGAAGCTAGCTCGCTTTTTATACTTACCGTCAGAAGAAGGGCTGCATTTCGCTTTCTGTCCATTGATTGTTGCTCTTCGAGTGCAGATGGTTGGCTTAATAGTTGGGTCATCACATCGATAGCCTAATGGACAAGGTGAGCACCGCGTCGAATTGGACTGGGCGGCATATGTACCTGTACGACATGGCAAACACATTGCAGATTTAGATGGAGACCAAGTGTCTGGTGGGCACGATAACACAGTTTTGCCATCTGGACAAGCGAAACCGTTCGGGCACGGATAGCATGAGATCGAATTGTTCTCAATACTGTATGAACCGTTGTCACACTTAGAGCAGGCTGTTTGACCCGACTGAGATACGAAACCAGAAGGACATGGCCTGGGGGATGCAGCTACATCTTGACAGTGAAATCCAGCAGGACATAAATAGCAGTTAGTCGCGCCCTCTTTGAAGTTGTAACTGCCAGGAGCGCAAGGAGAACAGGAAGCCGAACCCATCAATGACGCAAATCCCGGAGGGCATACTGTTTTTGTGATGCCATCACCACATGAATAACCGCCCGGACACAGAATGCATCTTCCGTCACTTACAAAGTATCCGAGAGAACATTTGGTCTGCGAATTGACAGTGACTAGCTGTAGAAGGATTAGTACTTTTAGAAGTATGTCCATCAAAAAGTAACAAGCAAGAATATGTATCGTGCTGCTCTTTTTCTTCTCCTATTTATGGGTGCCGTTATTGCGCAACTTTTTTTGACTAGCATCATGTTGAAATTTTTTCCTACTTCGCCTCCTCACATTTACACAACTTGTGCATTCGTTGACGAAAGTTATTAGTCATCCACTTTGAGTAATGATCAATCATCATCAACAAATAAAACGCTTCGATTTACTCGTCAACTTTTATTCACTTCTTTTTTTGTCAGAGTCAGAATGTTGACATTTACTGTAATTACACTACTCTACTATATCGTTCCATCACAGCAAGAATGCTCTAGTGGATACTACAAGAACGAGTCTCTCTGTGTGCCCTGTCCTAGTGGCTATTCTTGTCCTGATGGAAGCGAACTTTATATGTGTCCATCTGGTACCTATACGAATGATTACTATCTTAAAGATTCATGTCGTTCATGTGCTGAAGGATATTATTCCCCATCGTATGGCTCAAGTGGCTGTGATGTCTGTCCATCGGGATTCTTTTGCGATGATGGTATTCTACCAAAGCCGTGTCTATCAGGAACATATACAAACGACTACATTGTTAAAAATACATGCATCTCTTGTCCAGCAGGCTATTATACGGCACCGTTTGCCCCCATAGAGTGCCTAGTATGTCCATCGGGTTACTCCTGCAATGGCGCACGCGCCGCTCTTTGCCCTCCTGGAAGTTACACAAATGACTACTATGCTAAATCGGAGTGCCGAAAATGTGACACTGGTACTTACGCACCTGAAAACGGATCAACTTTCTGTCTAGTATGTCCCAGTGGCTATTCATGTCCTGACGGTATGAACAAGATCATTTGTCGGCCTGGATCCTACACAAACGATTACTATGAAAAAGGTTCTTGTCATAATTGCACTGCTGGATTCTTCGCCTCTGATCCTGGATCGATCGGATGCTCTGTATGTCCAAATGGATACTATTGTGATGATGGTATTCGTGCAAAAATATGCCCACCTGGGACATACACAAATGATTATATCCTCAAAGACAAATGCATCACTTGTTCTCCTGGAACCTGTGCACCGCAGTCAGGTTCTACTCAATGTACTTCATGCGACAGTAAAATCGGATAACAGACAAGCTGATAATACAATGGTTAAAATTCTCTAATTAAATACTGAAGTATGCTCTTTGAGGGTGAGGTTGTTCTCTTTACTCTCATCCTTCTTGTCATCATAAAATAAACTCGAGTATTCCAATACTTCTGTGTATTTCTCTCAGTACCAATGTGATCACGAGATGGAAACGAGGGTTGGCCAATGAGTCGATCGGCGTCAAAAATGTTAATTCCAAGCGAAATTTTGAGGTTCCAGTCAAAAATGCTTCTTTTCATACAGTCACAAGAGAACAAAATTATAAAAGAGTTCGAACTACCAAGATAGCTTCTCAACCTTCAAATTTCAAATTCACATGAATAATTAGAAAAATATGAATAATTAGAAAATCCTTAGGATAAATGCCATGGAATAATGGAAAATGATTCACATCTATAAGACAACTTTCAAAATAACTATTTGCTCATACACATACTTATCCACCAGAAAAATGAAAATTCATCCTAGTAATGAACACTCCTATATGAAAAATGAGGTCGAAAAATGAAAAAAAAGCTTTCGTCTATAGGAAAAATTCTTATATAGCATCATACGTACATATATATTTTTTTATTCAGCGGAAAAATGAAAATTCACAGTAATAGTGGAGACTCCTATATGAAAAATGAAACCGAAAAATGAAAACATGATTTCAAGATTCTTACGTAGTATCATACGGAGATAAATATTTTTTTTCAGCGGAAAAGTGAAGATTCATACTAATAATGAAGATTCCTGTATGAAAAACGAGATGAAAAAATGATTTCTTCTATAAGAAAAATTGTTTCACACTACTATACGTAAATGTATACATATATTTATTCAGCGGAAAAATGAAAATTAATAGTCATAATGAAGACTTCTATATGAAAAATG